GGGCGGCACGAGGCACGGTCCGACTCCAGCCTCCGGTCACCCTCCTCTCCTCTGCAGCCGTGCCGCCCTGCAGCCGGCAAGCAATTCATTCTGCCGTCATGTTCGCTCACTCGGCTGGGTGTCGAGCTCGCCCCTGCGGCAGCCGGGAGTGAGGTGTACCTACCGACGGGGCCCCATCATGGCTCTATTACGGCCCCGCCGCCGGCCGGCTGCATACCCCGCGCCGCCGTAAACACAGTCAGAAAATACCGGTCAAACGCTGAGTTACGGCCGCTCCATCACCGCCCACGTTATTGGCCGCTGTCATGTGATGGTGTAATTTTCACAAATTTACTGCGACATCAAAACACGTCTAAAGTAACGGCGGCAGTTCACGCAATATCATGTTTCAAACCAGATGCCCAATTGAAAATTAATATTACTTAATTAAACCGTAACCTGAACAAACGGCTCTCGGGCGTTCCTTAATTCGTCCTAATTGCAGAAAATTAAACGCTCCGGCGGCGTCGGCGTCGGCCTTGTGTGTTTTCCATCCCACGGCGGCGGCCGCGGACGGCGCGATCAAATGCAGCACCGTGCCGGCACCGCCACCTAAAGCATGTCCAGCGGTGGCTTCACTGCAGCCGCGCCGCCCACTAATTGCACGCCCCCCGGCCGCGGGCCACCGCTGGCCACAGGAAGGCGTCACCGCCCAACCACCCCCGGCCCGCTGGCCACAGGAAGGCGTCGCAGCCCAGCCGCCCCGGCCCGCTACCCCTACAGCCCATAAGAGTCTGTATCGCAGGCCAGCGGCCTTCCAGCCAATACTGCTGCACCCAGTACAGAGCCCTGAATGACCCCGGTGTAGGTGATATGTGTATTCACCATCGACTGCAGTGCGAGGTCTGGAGGTATTGGAACATACATTGCAAACATACACGTAAGTGGCAAAATTCAGCCCCTTGAAACCGATGACCTGAAAAAGCGGCCACATTATTTTGGAATTCGATGTAAGGGCTAATTGCAGATTCAGCCTCCATCAGTATGAGGCACGAGTGTTGGAATTAAAGTATCACATCCTGGCTGGCGATGCATGCGTCGAAACTTGCCATGAATATATTTTGGTTCAAGGCAGAGGAGGAGGACACATATTTGTGTCACCTTTGAGATACGAGATTTGCAGTCAAGTGTCCACATGCATCAAAACACTCGTTGCCTGTCGTGCTCGTTCGAAATCAATGAACGAAAATTATCCCTCGAATATGTATATGTTGCGACACGAATGTGACCAGAGTAAATAATGCTAAGAATGCTTATGTAACGATGGTGCAAATTACATATCCTGTATCATGTAGTCACATGACCATTCTATCCATGAAAATGTTGCGCACCGATACCAGCAGACCACACAAACACAGCAATAACATTAATCACAACCGCAGTGCCCATCCATCAGTATCCAGTTTAACGTCAGGCACATGTGCTTCTGCATACTTGCGCATTTTGCATGCACCTAAAGATAAGTTGATTCGACAGAAAAATATTATGTAACGGTGTGATCCTTACAATTTTGAAGAGAATGAAAATCAAACAAACATTATGATTTGTTCTGCCCTCGGTAATCCATATCTTTATTGCGCGAGTTATTATCATCATTGAAATCAGACATGTGCATGGATTCGAGTGATGGATCTATATGATCTCAGTGGATCTCGGAGGAAATTGCAGGTTAGGATCCATGATCCCGCCGGATCCGGAGTGAAAAATTATCCTGGATCTATGATCTTATAGAATCTGACGATAAACCAAGAACGTGGATCTATGATCGAGTGGATCCCGCCATGCACATCATTTGAAGCCAGGTTTCCAAGTGTTTCTAAGTCAATAAGTGCCACAAAGTGACAAAACTATACATTATGACGTGCAATCACATAAATCATATAAAAACAATCACATAAAAACAGAACTTTGTGAGGTGCAAGTTGCAACGAGTGATTTTTGGGGATTTCTGTGTTGACAAAAAATAAATGAGGATCTATGTCTCAATGGATCTCAAGCAAAAGAAAAAAATAATAAGACTCGCATATACATATGATCTCTACGGATCTCTCGATAAATTAAAGAGCTAGATCTATGATCTCGTCGGATCCGAGACCAGGATCCGTGGGATCAGATTCGAGATCCATTTTGTATGTAGGTATGTATGTATTACAATCATGGACAATCCACACGCGGCGTGGCGATTACAGTCCAGAGTCTGAGTCGGGTTACTCGGATCCATGCACATGTCTGATTAAAATAGTAATTTTCATCGCCATTGTATCAATAAACATGCTTAAACGTTTCTAGTACTAGAAATTTTAATTTTAGTACCTACTAGAAATTCATTACTTATTACTTAATGAATATGTATTATACATGCACACTGGTCCTACATTGGCATTCGTGTGCCTACAATTTACCATCCATGAAGCTTTATGTTGCACAGGTCCTGGGAGACAACTGAGAAGGCTCTTGCCTCTTCGACAGTTCCCGAGGGCAGCCGTTTGTGATTGGTTCGCCGCAGCGAGCAGCTCTGATACCCACCGCGTTCAACCGTTGACCAATCATCACAGAGCACACCTGTGGGCGGGCCAGGGGCGCCCACACCGCGAGCCCTCCATTGTGCAACTGTCCAGTTCCACCAGTCATCAGACACTGAACGACGGCCCTTTGTGTGGCCAACCGGTGATCAGGGTACATAACCGTCACTGGCCGCTCAGCCGGCCCGATTGCTTTGTTGAATGTCACTCTCTGCTCAGTAGCACATTAGGAGTGTTGGGCAAACAGAGGTTAATCACAGCTGAGCTACGCCCACAACTGTCAAATTAAACTACAATATTGCACTATAACAGGTATGAGATAGGAGAACGACAAAGAAATATCAACATTCACCAGCGCTCGTAAAGTGGTGCCGACGATCTCATTAGGCGCAATGTGAGTGGTCTCATTTTTTAAATGGCCAAAAAGGGATTAATTAGGTGCTTAGAAAGATTGCTTATTACGGACTTCAGGAAGCATGCTCCTAGTTACCTATAATCGACATCAAACTATCATATTGTGCATAAAATATGCCAGTTAATGGGTTTGGCTTATGCCTGAAATGGACCCGTTTTGCATTGCTTAAAATAACCAGCGTTGGAGATAGGATAACACAAAACATACACGGTACATGACGGAATACATCAGCTTTAATGCATTGTATGTAGAAACGGGAGTCATTGGATGTTTGTTGAACGGTCTCGACTTCGATATCCACACTAATATTAGTCGCATCAGCATCAGCAGCAGCGCCACAAGGCTCGACCTATTCTGAGAACCGTGACCCTAGGTCCAGATGCCAAGACGTAATCCATTCCTGCTTGAGCCTCATGTGAGGATCAGATGGCGTATGAAGAGGCAAACCTGATCCCCGAGTATGCTTTAATATCCTCAGGCGCTAGATATCAGAGAAATGCGCCGCCGACTTTCACAATTGACCGATTTATCAAATAATCGTCTATTCATTAGCGTCATTTTCATGTTTTGGTGTGGGTAATTTGGGCTATGTATCCGGCGCCCGGGGCGGGCCGGCCGGGCCGTGAACGGTATAATAACGGCCGTCCGACCGTCCGGCGGCTTGTGATTGATCTGAAACGAATGAACTCCCGCTCTTTATAACTAATAATTGAATGATAGCCGTGAAAAATATTCTGAATCGCTAAGGATTTAATGACGGGATGGCTGTACCAGCTTCGCTGCGCTGTGGACGGAATGAAAAATGACTCGTCCGGCGGGCGGGGCGAGCCGAGGTGGGACGGACGGCCGTCGGCCCGCCGACACCAGCGCTATTATTGCGCCGTGCACCGCTCTGACGGTGGTATTGTGTCCAGTAATGACCGTCGGCCATCGGCCATTAGCGCAGTCCGGCGCCATCACCCAGCTGCTGATGAAGGGCCGCCGTGAGCGCTGACCTGACCCCGAGCCGGCCTCCCACAGCTGAGCAAACACCATCCATTGCGCCGCGTGTCACAACGCCGGCCGGTGTAATGGGCTGAGACGCTGTCGACCGGAGACAGGCAGGCATCCTGAGACTGAGGACAAACCTCCTGGGAGTGAGGGCTGATCGGACTCCTGAGGGCCTCTAGACACCCTAAGGGTCGCCGGGCCTCTGAGCGTGAGGACCGACCGACGACCAATATTCTGCGGCTTGGCGGGCCTCGCAAGAATCGTGGGGCCTCCTGAGGGTATCTGGGCCTCCGAAGGATCGCTGAGATACACTAGGGTCGCCAGGCCTCCTGATTCCTAGCGGTCGCCGGCCCTTTGATGATCGCTGCAGGCCTTCTGGTGGTTGGAGGGCAGGGTCACCGGGCCTCCTGAGGGTTGCCGGACCCTCTGATGGTCAAAAGGCCTACTAAGGGTCGCTGGGCCTCCAGAGGGTCAATGAGCACCCTGACGGTCACTGATATGATCGCCAAATCAAACTGGCAACCAGCGAGACGCGAACTAGGCACTAGGCAGTGCTGGTCTGCAGCGCCGTGCGCTGTTGTATTGTCAGAGAGAACTTCACTTCCTTTCTCATATAAGAGCCGGTCATGACCCATTATCAACAAGGTCAGCCTGCGTCATCATGCTTCTATAGCGGGCCTACGTATCGCAATAAAAGATATTACGCCAACGCTATTTGGTGCTGCACGTTTTGATCGCATGCTTTGCGGTTCACAACCGCTGTTCAATGCTTGGGTTGCCCATCCTGCATCTATCCAATGAATATGCTAGCCTTATACTGATAAGTTGATTGCCATAAATTCACCGATAATTAAAGTCACTTCGCAGGATGATTGTTTGATGACTTCTAATACCATTTCATTGTCGGTTATCTATGCACACTTGTATGATATCAACAGTCGAGTGGTACTTGGATCTGTTTACTGGCACTATTACAGTCTTCAAGTAGTGAGCTACCGTAATGAATAAATCACACCGACTTTTAAACAAGCATCGGCAATAAATTAACCGTTTATTTTCGTATATAAATTATATAACATCAACTCGCCACACCGCAGTATGTACAGCATGTCTTCAGAAGAGACTAACGACCGATGAAGGCCCGCGTTCGGTCACACACGCGGCACGCGTAACGAATTCGACGGGCACCTCCTCAGGGCCGTCGACGCCGATGATGTAAGCACGCAGAACCACACGACGGTCGGGTGATCGCGGGGCGGATTCCGGAAATCAGAGGCGCAGCAGTAACGACGGGGTGGCGACGGCAGAAATGTTCGTATAGCAGCAACAGCGGTGGTAGTAGCCCTCGCAACGACGGCGGCGGCGGTGGTGGCAACAAATAACAGACAGTCGGCCAAACCGGCAAATGTCCCCGCACTATCAGAACCCTGGGCACACGGTGGCCTAATGCAGAGTTCAACGAAGGATCATGAACCTCATGATACCCGAGGAACTTTTCATAGGCCCAAAGAGTTCATGCAGACAAGGCGGCATGTGATGACTAGAAACTAGTGTGGCCAGACCCAGCCGGACGCCGGAGGTGGCCGTGGGGTCAGCCCTCCGCGGCCCGAAGCAGGTCAGCTCCAGGTCAGGTCACCGAGGGTTAGCTCAGCGGGAGGCATCTTCAAACACGCAGTCAAACCGGCGGCGAACAGCGAACTCTGCGAAAGAAAGAACGTTGTGTCAACGAGAGGTAACAGAGTGCATATTTTCGCCGTCAATCGGCAAACCCAAGTCATACTCGTCAGCACACACAGCTGGATGAAGGATTCTTATGAAATTATGTACTTCATCTGAAACGGACAGCCACAGTTCTCATTGCATTGTCAGCAGTACAGCACTATAGTCATCCGTTACCACCAGAACACCCAGGGGTCTAGTCACCACCCTCAAACACCCCAGAGCTCTGTTCGTCCGGACCCGTCTGCCAGTCAGCTCCCGTCGTGAACACGCTCTGCGTCAGCATAAAACAATCTCCAAACAATAGACGATCCAATCACGATATGCCAGTCATTAAATCACGCCCCGCGCCAGCCTGGTTATCAATGATCGCCTGTCCCGGTAGCTGAATAGATGACGTCACACCGGCGGCGCGATGACGTCACAGGGGTGACTCTCAGGGCTGTTTGTCAGGGAGGCGCGGCGGACCGGACTGCCGACCACTACCGTGAGAGTTCCTCCGCGATCGCAGGGTTATCGGCCCTGAGAGCGACTGTAGAGGGCCGACATTCCCATCAAACTGCCCAGTTGGTAGTTTGAAAGTAATTGGCTAGCGCCACAAGCGCGATAATATAGCCATTTGCTTGTTGGGAGCGACCTTGACTTGCATGATCAAATTCTCCCAGACCCTACAGGCCTACAACGCCAGCCTTCCAGTCACAACCACAGCGACCAATGGCAGCCTCCCGTACAAATCGTCAGCAGCTGTCAGCAGCACCTCATGAACAGACCACGTCCGCCGGCAGCGCCTGGCCTTCGTGCATCGAGCTCCCTCACAGCTACAGGCCAGCAAATTGATTAAAATGCCCCAGAAATTAACAGCAAATTACCGGCGTGGCATTTAGTGCCTAGCGCCGGTGTCCATCATGATAAGGTGTCTGGAATGCGGCGCTGAAATACGGGCCCATTACGAGGCTATGGCCGGCCGACACGCCACGTAGCACTGAGGCAGCTCGACAGAGAGTGGAGAGTGTGGTGGGGCCGTACCTGCCGATATCGGATGGCCGAGGAAGAAAGGATGGGAGAGGGTAGCCGAGACGACGACAGTGTCAGGGCCGGAAGGGGTAGAAGAGGACAACAGAGGACTACAGAAGACGGTAGACGATGTCAAGAGACGGCAGAAGGCGGTAGAGGACGACAAAAGACGGAGAAGATGTTGGAAATGATAGTGTGTGTCAGCGGACAGGCATGTGAGCGGCACAGGATATAAAACGTGAGTTGTTTAGATTAGAAGTGAGATATTTCGTTCTAGTCTTAGGCATCAATAAAAGAGTCTGAAAAGTTCATTTTTTATAAGGATTTTTTAAGACCATTGGATTTTTGAGTTCCTTCGGTACTGTCAACGCTCATGGAGCATGCATGTAAGAAAACAAACTACCACGTTTTAAGGCTGAAACAGACTCTTTCCGCGTTCAGGAAATCGCAGGCGAGAGCCTATTCAAATACATTATAATTTTCCCGCATCAATCGCATCCGGGAGGTGCGTGCGATTGATGTGAGCGTGCTTCCATGTATTTGAATAGGCTCTCGCATGCGATTTCCTGACTGGGAAAGAGTCTGTTTCAGGCATTAATCTGTAGGATTAAAATAGCGGTAAGTAACAGACACATGTAGAAACACTTAATCCCCCCCAAAAAACGCATGCGTAGCTTTGGGTTTAGGACTTATTGTTGGATTGTAACCGGCTGTTAAAGTAATTCAAATGCTATTTATGGCTGGCTGGCAATAAATCACATTCAGCCTTTATGTCTCTATGTTCAGCGTGCCTGGCATGCGGCCCGTCCCGCCCCGCTCGGTACCGGCAGCCCCGCTCCATCGATCTGCCCCGTTACCGCCGGAGACCGTGCACGCGAATACTCACTAACCGTGAGGCGCGGCCCGAGAATGACTTAGTTACGGCGTGTTAAATAACGGTAACAGCCGGACGGAGTGCAGAGGGCAGGCGCCAATTCATTGGTGTCAAGATTGGCTGACTGGACGCTGATGGAGCCGGGTCACACGACGGGCCCGCGTCATAAACGGTCACGACGAATGGCGACGGTTGAAATCGGTCCAACGGAGCAGGAAAGATAAATGCTATAAGTTTTGGTAATGTTGGCATTCAGAAGCTTGTCAGGGAATTCAGAAAATAGCTTATGGGTTATAAAAAGACTTAAGCTGATGCAATTATACACGATCATTTTATGATCAAGCTTAAAAATCTACGCCCCAGCCGGCGTAATTTAGTGTGTGAGCCCCCTCTCCCCCTCTACTTCAGGCAATTGTTCAACAAAGGTGTGCAATGTGCATGCCAGGAAGCTTAAATCGTCAAACAGCCGGGCTCTGAGGAGCGAACACATACTCAGGGTGATTGATCTGAGTTGGATGATGTATTGCAGCGTCAATACGCGCCTGAAACATGCAGCTAAGTTTTAGTAGAGCATGGAGCCTCTCAGGAAATAGGCTCAGGGATAGAGCCGTCAGGACACCTCAACGCCGTTTAGTTATATTTGAATGTCATTCGGAAAATTACCTGCATATTTTGTTGTCGTATGAATGAGTTATTCATCACAAGCAAGGTGACGTAGAATGACATAGGTTAGGTACCTTTGGCAAATAGTATATTGGATTCACGATTTGAGCCGTGAGAGGTTAAGCATTACCACATTTTTGGACAAAGCTGGTGATACAGCCTAGCCTTTGATGGCACCTGTTCTGACAGCCACCCCCTGCTGTTTCTAAACGATGTCTCTGACAAAATGTGAGCCCTTTTTATGACGTCGGACCTCCATCGGCAGGCCAATTGGAATCTAGTTTAAAAACGCTGATGGATCAGATAGGTCCGATATTAATTAAAACATAGCGTTACATAGATCGAGATTTAGTTACCGACGAGCATTATAACTGACAGGAATGCCTTAAATTATTTGTTTTTCTGAGTCCCAGCTATTCGAATCATGTCTATTTGGACGTTTGTCTAAATTGATGCCGCAGTTTTGAAATGAAGACGTCTGAGCGAGCCGCAACGATCGGCAGCTGGCGGTTCCACCCTCCCATCTCAGGGACCTATGTACTTCAAACTATGTAGTCACGGCTAATGGAGGTGATCATTCACGACCCAGGTAACTGGATTGGATTTGAAAAAAAAAAACGTTGGGTAGGTGGCCCGTAAGGATGACCACTGACCACCCGTGCTGTGTTGGTGAAAGATAAAACGGTTCTTCGGCCCTTGATCCCCACGATTCAGGAATCACTGATCAACTTAGCTCGAGCTTCACTGTTTGCAACGACTTAGAACCGTCCGGAGACCTTTGGTCGTTAGCTGGACTCGCCCATCCACTCACCATGCCCGTCCAGGTAGGTCAGCGATCGGCCGGTCAGCGATCGGTCGGTCTGCCGATCGGCCGGTCGGCCGGCCTGGACAGAGCGATGCCGTCGATACGGCCGTGTCAAACAAATTGTGGCCGGCGTGTCAGGCGTCGGCGGCCGATACGAGAGATAGCCGGCCACTGGAGGCGGACCACAGCGGCGCACTGCCCGCTGCGCCTGCCGGGATGCTGCTCACAGCTCGCCTTAATTGGTGGTCGCCCCGCCACAGGACTCTCAGATAGGAGCGTCATCGCCTCCCGCCGACCAGCGACGGAGACCGAGCTCTCAGCGGGCCGACCGCCGGCGAAAATAATGAAGAAAAATGGGACGGAAACGCGGCGAGCATGAACGATTATGTTAACGAGGGTTTGCCTGTGTGCATACCCGGGTGGTGGTGTGCGCGCTGTGGTAATTGGTTCGTTACGTGGCCGGCGTGACTGGGCCGGGAGCTGGAGGCTGTAACTATTAATAACCGCTGCTGAGGCGATGACGGATCGGCCCTCCACGACGACCCAGCGCCGCTCTGTCGACGGCGGAGGCAGCGCGGCCACGGGCATTTGTCTCCCGACATCAGATAGCAGCTGATGTCGAACAGCGTCACCCCGTCACCGTCCGGCGCCGGGCGTATCGAGCCGGCGGCGCTGACATCGCCTCTCCGTTACAGCTCGAATGAACACCGCAATCATTTGTTTGAGCAATGGCCACTCACGTATCCATGAATAATAATTTTAGGGGTCATGGCCCGCAGAGCTCTCAAATCGGCGCTCAACAGTGAAACTTTAACCTGATTCGCTTTTTTAGCGAAGGACTACTTACCGTTTGATCAAACGCCTAACCTAATTCAACACCGTCAAGTGCTTGAAATTGGAGGCTCTTTTGGACCTGCCTGCCCTGCAATGCGATCCATATGTTTACAGTAGTTACAAATGGCTTCGTCTTCCTGTGTAGATCCGCAGTTGATAGCGAACTGATGACAGAATAATTGATAAACACAGCAAAAACCGACATCTGACCACCCATGTCGCTCGTCAGATTGATCACATAAATTCAACTTCCATATCGAACCATCTAGGCTGTCAACGTATGTGTTGATTTACAAGATGACTTTCTAGCCTCCATCAAATGGGCGCATTTTTCTTACCCTCACTCACTCGCCATGAATCAAATCGACATCCAAAATTGATTAAAACTTCCTCTGATATTAACGCTACTTCAAACTAATCGGTGTAGAAAGCTAGCATTGCGGTGCTTAAGAGAAAAAATTGTTTTGTATCCACCCTAAATACTGCAAAAAACACATTTGAGTTTCGATATCACCTCATTCTATCACAGATGCCAACATGGTATGGCGAGTGGCACAAAAACCGTACCGGCGGCCCATTCGACTGGACAGCGGGGTGTCCATGGAGCCCAGCCCGGGACGACCGACATCAGTCCACCTAATGACCAGATTATCGGCCTAATTTATGCACGATTGTCATGCACGGCTCGGTGCCTTGATAACAGAGAAAGGCAGCCTGACGAGGCATGATCTGAGTTGAACCGTCGCCCATTATGCCCGGCAAACAGTGGCGCCGCTGTTCAGTACCCCAATGACGTCATCAAAACGGCTTCGGACGGCGCCCATCGCGGCGGCTGGAGCATTCATCGCGCAAATTTGCAACGTGGAATAATGATAATAGATGCCATTAGAGAAGTTTGTGAGGAGGCAAATGGTGTACCACCAGTGAGACCAGAGGAAAATGGTGTACCTACTGCTGCATGAATTATGGTCAAATTTAGGGAGACTGTATCCATAGCAACTGAGATAATGTAAGTTCTGGGAGACGATTTACAAACTAAACCTCAGCCAGGAAAAACATCGGCTAAATTCAATAATAGGTGCTAGTGATAAACAAATCTCGCGAATAAATTCACGACCTCAGAATAACTCTATGACACCTTTTTGAACTTTCGACTATTTCAGCATTATTTTCAGAAAATCTTACATGACATCGCTATCATACCTTCCTGCGAGGTTCCCTTGTGTTCTCACAAGCCGTGAAATATCACAGATGTCTATCTGTTCAACCATGCGCCTACCGCTATGGCCGACCGCCCACCCTCTGCCCCCCTCCCCCCTCCCAGGGCCAGCCGCGATGTCTTCATAATGAGCTCCTAATAGGCGGCGGCGCCGTATAATTGTTTTACGGCAGTACCGCCTGGCGTGGCTGGCATGCAACCGAGCAGCGCGCCTGTTTTGTTAATCATGCCGCCATATCCGAGCTAAGGAATCACCGTCATTGTGGCCACAGCGTGGTGGGCGGAAGACGGGCGGACGGGGCGGAAGACGGGCGGAGGAGGCGGGACAGGAACGGCAGCACGCCTGACTAGACACGCGACTAGCCGCCGGCACCGACGGAGAGAGAGAGAGAGAGAGAGAGAGAGAGAGAGAGAGAGAGAGAGAGAGAGAGAGAGAGAGAGAGAGAGAGAGAGAGAGAGAGAGAGAGAGAGAGAGAGAGAGAGAGAGAGAGAGAGAGAAAGAGAGAGAAAGAGAGATAGAGACCCCATTCTCCCTGCCGCGACCGCCACCGCCTCAAACACATCGACAAAGACACTCAGAGACAGTCGTCGTTCAAGAAAAGACGCTTCTCTTCAGCGGATTCAGGTGTTGCCTAAACTGCGCAAATACGACGGCCATAACATTATCTGCGAGTCATGAGAAATGGTTGATGGGTATCTTTAGAGGCTTCCACTGCTAAGGACGATTTTCACAAGCCGGCTAACCAATTTATCACCAGTTGCTGCCTGTATCTATCGCCGCTCGCTTGCTTGTTCCAATCAGCACTAAGCACCGGTAGCTAACGGTAAGGAAGGCTATCGTTCATTACGTCACTACGGTCATCACAAGATGGCGTGCGAACGATGCTGCGAAAACAACACCGTCGATTTGTTACCAGGGCTTATAAGACAAAGGATGAAGTGATGACGGCGTTGGGGTTCAGCCTTGATTCTAAAAGTATTGGAATGTGTTACTTTTGCTCACTGGTAATGGTATGGCAAGCTCAAGGATTATTTGCCCAGCGATACGAGTAAGTGGCCAGCTGTACGAACACTGACCTGTTCACTAGCTCAGTAGCAGCCGTGGTTGCAATTACATTGGCTAGCAGAAGTGACTGCCGTTGAGACATGACTAGACGGTAGATCTCAACCAGGTCAAGTCTCAACGCCAAAGTTTATACCATTGCAATGTTTTGCGTTGCAGGTGGCGACTAGTCTGTCTCTGTACCGAAGCCCATGATTGCAGTATGTACTGTTATGGATCGAAATAAAGACAAGTACCTAACCCGCAACGAGCGAAGCTTCGGAGTCGCTTCATGGCAAACTTACCTGTAACAAATAAGGCCATGAGGCCTTAAACAGCTGAAAATTTAACGGAATAAGCTGCGGAAGATCAGGGCATTTGAGAGACAAAATAATAGCCATCCGAAGTATGACTGACGGGTCAAACTATGAAGACTAAGAAAGACTAGCCGGCAAGTCAGCTGTTCGGCGAGACCCACCCTGAGCATCGGAACGCCATGCGAACGCCGTTCCGCCGCGCGCCGCTTTCCTCACCATATCAGCGCTATCAATCTAATTCAGTGGCGGCAGCCGTGATCCATCGGCCGCCGCCAAACTATTTGATTGGTCTCAATTGGCGCAGCTCACCGTAATCACCTTTCTGTGGGTCCGCGTCGACCACCGTCGACCGCCGGCTGACCTCGGCTGACCTGGGCTGACCTCCGGGCTCGTCGGCGGCTGGCCTGCGCGTCGGGCGGCTATCACAGAGACGGGGTGATGGTGAGGACCAGCCGGCCGGCTAGCTGGACGGGGGCGGCTGAGCCTGCGAGTACGCCGAGGACAGCAGGAACGGCATCGGCCTCTGGAACGACGGCACTCCCAGACCCGCCGCCGCCGCCGAGAACATGCTGGCTCCGGTCGGCAGCATGCCAAACGTGGGCAGCAGCGGTCGAGACGCCATCCGCAGCTTCTCCAGCTCGGCCTCCTGCAGCCGCTTTGACTTGGCGCGCCGGTTCTGGAACCAGATCTTCACCTGGGTCTCGGTGAGGCTCAGCTGGGCCGAAAACTCGGCCCGCTCCGCGATCGAGAGGTACTGTTTCTGTCGGAACTTCTTTTCCAACGAGAGTAGCTGCTGGGTGGTGAAGGGCGTGCGCGGCTTGCGGTTCGGCTTGTGCTTCCGCAGGTGCATGGTGCCCGTGATCTTGGGCGGCTCTGGAGGCTCTGAAATGAAGAATACAGATTTGTTAGGGTAGCTACTGTTACGTCATACTGAGTTTGCTTTAGTTGTGTGTAACGAGCAACAGGATCGGAGGCTATTGCTTGATGCTCTGCCTGCGTCCTACCTCTAAGAGGACAACGAACTTGTTGCCTATTTTGGCTTCCTGACCTGATGAGGATTTTCATCGACCTTCTGTTACCTGCAATTTCATAAGCTTTGCTCAGTGTTGAAATGAGCTGTCCCTCTGCACCACATCTCACGCAGTTTTAATTAATGTTAAAAGATAAGCAAGTAATAGCCTTTGGCTCATTGTATAATAGACACAATAAATGGAAAAGAATATATGTGCGATATTTCGTGTTCGACACTTTTTCATGCACTGATGTTTAAAAAATATTTTTGTTGACAAGCAAACACACAAAACGAGCACAGTTGAATATCCCTCCTCTGATAACGAAACATTGGATTACATAATAATTTCAGAACTGTCGACAAAATCATTCAAAGTCCAACAAGTACAGAGTTATACGGGCATAAATGATACCTCATGCCCAGCATGCCCACCACAAAACACACATATCCCCTAAAACATTCCCTAAATACATTGCATGAGTGAGGCAGGCCAAAATATTTTCTACACACATTGCGCGAGTGAGAGAGGCAGAAAGAAAAGTAAGGCAGGCAGGAAGGAGGCGGCGTTGGAGAACGGCGGGCACCAGACCGGTCTGCATCAGCTTCAAGTGTAAAAAACAACGTTGGACAGGACTGCAAGAAGGTGAATAAAATGACACACAAAAAGGGTAGACAGGGTAGGCAAGACTTTTACTGGTGGGTCTGTCCTGGATGAGACGTGCTCTATCTTGTCATTGAGTTATACTGTATTTGCATGGGAGCAATCAGTTTCCAGGATGTGGCATTTTTATTTATTGATGGTTTACGGTTTCTGATCTCTAAAGACTCTGTGATTTTCATCTGTGCTGCATCCTTTAAGTTTGTGTGCAGTAGTTTGAGTTTGAGCATGTCGTTTGTTATCTCAGTGTCTGGGTGAGCATCTCTCATGTGTTCCCCGAAATGTGTGCCAGGTCGTTTGTGTCTAGCGTCCCCTAAATGTTCCATAAATCTGGTTCTGATACGTCTTCGTGTTTCTCCAATGTAGATGGCTGAACATAATGTGCATGTGATGTGGTATACTACGTTTTTAAGGTGACATTTCCCAACTGCACCTGCTTGACAAGCGTGACAGGTTGTACGATTTCCCCTTGGGCATGGTGGTTGATCCAATCCTGATCTAATGAGCGTGTTGGCTAGTGTTTTGCCCCCCTTCCATGCTATTTTGACATTTAGTTCAGATTTCTTTGTTATGTTGTTGATTTTTCTCGATAGGTCTTCGTCAATGTATGGAAGGGATATGTAATTTACTTTCGGTTTGGTCCGTGGGTGCTGTGTTTGGTTTCGAGTTTTCCTTTGGATGTTAGTGATCATTTTCTCTGGATATCCATTCGAGAGGAAAATATCTTTTATTTTCTTGATGCCTCTGTTCTTTGCTGACGTGTTTGAACCCAAACGTAGGGCTCGAATGGTTTGTGAGTGGATAACTGCGCGTTTAGTTTGCATGGGATGTGCTGACTTGAAGTGAACGATAATAGGAGCGGCCATGGGCTTGACATAAAGCTCTGTTGTGAAGTTCCCAGCTCCGTCTAAGGTAAGTAGCGTATCCAGAAAAGGAATGTGTTGCTCTGGTGATTGATCAGATCTTTCAATGCTGAATTTCAGGGAGGGGTGAAAATCGTTGATGAATTCAAAATAATCGTCAAGAGCCTTTGGTCCGTGAGTCCATATGCCTAATATATCATCTATATAACGCATGTACATGACTGGCTGTGGTCTGTTTACTGATAACATTGCAGTTTCTACTGAATGCATAAATAATATAGCTAAGGGTGGAGCCATTCTATTGCCCATGGCTATGCCTGGATACGCTACTTACCTTAGACGGAGCTGGGAACTTCACAACAGAGCTTTATGTCAAGCCCATGGCCGCTCCTATTATCGTTCACTTCAAGTCAGCACATCCCATGCAAACTAAACGCGCAGTTATCCACTCACAAACCATTCGAGCCCTACGTTTGGGTTCAAACACGTCAGCAAAGAACAGAGGCATCAAGAAAATAAAAGATATTTTCCTCTCGAATGGATATCCAGAGAAAATGATCACTAACATCCAAAGGAAAACTCGAAACCAAACACAGCACCCACGGACCAAACCGAAAGTAAATTACATATCCCTTCCATACATTGACGAAGACCTATCGAGAAAAATCAACAACATAACAAAGAAATCTGAACTAAATGTCAAAATAGCATGGAAGGGGGGCAAAACACTAGCCAACACGCTCATTAGATCAGGATTGGATCAACCACCATGCCCAAGGGGAAATCGTACAACCTGTCACGCTTGTCAAGCAGGTGCAGTTGGGAAATGTCACCTTAAAAACGTAGTATACCACATCACATGCACATTATGTTCAGCCATCTACATTGGAGAAACACGAAGACGTATCAGAACCAGATTTATGGAACATTTAGGGGACGCTAGACACAAACGACCTGGCACACATTTCGGGGAACACATGAGAGATGCTCACCCAGACACTGAGATAACAAACGACATGCTCAAACTCAAACTACTGCACACAAACTTAAAGGATGCAGCACAGATGAAAATCACAGAGTCTTTAGAGATCAGAAACCGTAAACCATCAATAAATAAAAATGCCACATCCTGGAAACTGATTGCTCCCATGCAAATACAGTATAACTCAATGACAAGATAGAGCACGTCTCATCCAGGACAGACCCACCAGTAAAAGTCTTGCCTACCCTGTCTACCCTTTTTGTGTGTCATTTTATTCACCTTCTTGCAGTCCTGTCCAACGTTGTTTTTTACACTTGAAGCTGATGCAGACCGGTCTGGTGCCCGCCGTTCTCCAACGCCGCCTCCTTCCTGCCTGCCTTACTTTTCTTTCTGCCTCTCTCACTCGCGCAATGTGTGTAGAAAATATTTTGGCCTGCCTCACTCATGCAATGTATTTAGGGAATGTTTTAGGGGATATGTGTGTTTTGTGGTGGGCATGCTGGGCATGAGGTATCATTTATGCCCGTATAACTCTGTACTTGTTGGACTTTGAATGATTTTGTCGACATTTCTGAAATTATTATGTAATCCAATGTTTCGTTATCAGAGGAGGGATATTCAACTGTGCTCGTTTTGTGTGTTTGCTTGTCAACAAAAATATTTTTTAAACATCAGTGCATGAAAAAGTGTCGAACACGAAATATCGCACATATATTCTTTTCCATTTATTGTGTCTATTATACAATGAGCCAAAGGCTATTACTTGCTTATCTTTTAATAATAATGGGGCTCATTTTCAAAGAAACCCTCAACATCATTCAACGTTTTAATTAATGAGTCCCATTCATCAAACGCCGATAAATTCGGCGTTCATCTGCGCACGACGCTCAATTGAACACCATCGCATACTTTCCACGTCATTTAGCCACCAGGTCAGCAGTTTTCCGAGCCCCCCATCTGCTCTATTGTATTACGTCACCACCGCCGCTCTGCGATTGGCTGATTCTGCCCCCACGCTCAGCCGACAGGGAAGCGAACAGCGACGGTGACGGTGCAGAAGAGCCCGCGGTACCACTCGGCGGCCACTGCCAGTTGGCACACTCGACGACCAGAGCAAACACACGCTCTTGTCGCCGCCGCTGATTTGCCAGTAATGCTAATTAGATGTTTCTTCGGAACCTGACCCGACCGACGTCTCCGTCGATAAGCCCGGCGAAGACGGGAAGAGATGTCGAGAGGCGCAGTTACTGTGGCTTGTTACGTACTGGTGATGGGATAGCTCCAATAGCCAAATCGCTATATCGATAACAGATAAACGAAAAGCATAAAAAATCAAGTTAAGATACAATTCTTCTTTTTTCGGTGGATACATTGTATGATGGTATCGCATAAAATACGAGCGAAAACATGATGCAAACTGCAATTAAAACGTCCATGTGATACTGCTGCGTATTTAAGTTGGTTTGAAAAAAAAGCTTTTGAACAGTGCATTAGTGACCAGTATTCAGAAGTCGCAGTGGCAATTCCAGTAACATATTTGATTTATATCCTCCTCCATGGCATTCGATTAATTCTATTTCATCATGCAAGTAAGTCAATCAGGTGAATTCAAAGCCACATTAACATGGCACGAACTTGCAGATCGTATTCAGAAACGGATACATGACCATTGACCAAATGTCAAAGCTTTACATGGCTTTACGCTATCATCATATCGAACAATTTTCGGAAAAGTCTTCGTTGTAAATTTGCTGTTCCTTCCCCTAATCTGAGAAAGAGAGAGAGAGAGAGAGAGAGAGAGAGAGAGAGAGAGATAGAGAGAGAGAGAGAGAGAGAGAGAGAGAGAGAGAGATTTGGTATAAAGAGAAAGGGAGGAAATAGGACTGAGATATAGAGATACAGACTACAGAGACACGGGGAGAGGAGAGAGTAACTGCAAAGAGGTCAAGACCAAGAACCCGTAAAAGAAAAGATACTGGTGGATCCAGAAAAGCATCGGGGATTACTTTTGCTCATGCAGTGTCATATCCACATGAAAATATGACGCTTTGCTTGCAGCAAATATAAAAAATACCTAAAAGAATAAACAGTTTTCTTTAAAATACTATGCAACACACAAGGAAGCGACATTAATGAGCAGCTAGAATTTAGTAACACGCTTCGGAGAGCATGCTTCCCACAACGTCTATTGCATCATGTGTGGACTCACCAATTAAATTTAATTAAAATAAGATATTTACAACGACTAGAGGTACAGGTTTACGCGATAAGTGTATGTTTTGATATGTATGATCAACGGATGCATTAGTTTGGGTGTAGAAACTTGCATTTTTATTGGTACCTATTATTTGTTTAGAACTGGGTAACTGCTTTTAATTGAACTGTAAAGAATGATGGTGATGCATGCGAGTTTTTCGAGCCCTTTGTAACTTAGGATGTTACTCAATTCAACCCTACCCTACCCTACCCTACCCTACCCTACCCTATCCTACCCCTACCCTACCCTACCATACCCTACCCTACTCTACCCTACCCTACCCTACCCTTCCCTACCCTACCCTACCCTACTCTACTACCCTAACCTACCCTACTACCCTACCCTACCCTACCCTACCCTACCTAACTCTACCCTACCCTACCCTACCATACCCTACTACCCTACCCTAACCTACCTTACCCTACCCTACCCTACCCTACCCTACTACCCTACCCTACCCTACCCTACCCTACCCTACCCTTACCCTACCCTACCCTACCCTTACCCTACCCTACCCTACCCTACCCTACCCTACCCTACCCTACCTTACCCTACCCTACCCTACCCTACCCTACCATACCCTAACCTACCCTACTACCCTACCCTACCCTACCTAACTCTACCCTACCTAACTCTACCCTACCCTACCATACCCTACTACCCTACCCTAACCTACCTTACCCTACCCTACCCTACCCTAGTCCCTACCCTACCCTACCCTACTACCCTACCCTACCCTACCCTACCTTACCCTACCCTACCCTACCCTACCCTACCCTTACACTACCCTACCCTACCCTACCCTACCTTACCCTACCCTAACCTACCCTACCCTACCCTACCATACCCTACCCTACTCCTACACTACCCTATCCTATACCCTATAACCCTACCCCTACACTACCCTATCCTATACCCTATAACTCTACCCCTACACTACCCTACCCTACCTTACCCTACCCTACCCTACCCTACCCTACCCAACCCTACACTACACTACCACCGACAGTCCAAGTTTCAGCTAAATCGGCCCAGAAACGGCCGAGATATTGCAAAAACAAATTAATTGTATTTACTGGCGAATCCCCTTGGCGAGCGGTGCCCTGTGTCGGCCTTCGTTGTCAAAGGTCAATGACCTGCCGGCTCTGATGCTTTTCACTCAGTTTTTTAAGCGAACAACTGAGCCTAAAGCACGTGCCCTCTGCTCGGCGCCGGTCGCGATTCTAATGCTAACCCTATGGCGCAGATGAGCACGCGCCACGGGCGCACCCCCGGCCGAATCGAGCCCAAAATTTAATACGACCTGTTGAATTACGTGACTCACGAGTCGTGAAAATTTCACCCCCCTGCGTCAATCGACGGCTTTGCAATAGCCGTTTTTGGGAGTAACGCCGACTGCGTAACCCCGACGGCGGCGGACTTTTTAAGATTTATAATAGTAGATGGGGTCAATTTCCGACAGCAAATTAGCGAACAATTAGGCGCCTAAACTTAAAACATGCAAATTGTGGGAGAAGTGATGCATGCATACAGTTATATTTTCTTCAGCATGTGCAAAATTAATTAGCAGTGCACCAACTGTATGGATATTGTAAGCAGAAAGAACGCACAAATGAGTACACACATTATCATCGCCAGTCCCCAAGGGAATATTTTCGCTATTCGATAACAACGAATCGCTGGGTAAGCTAAATTGATCGTAGTTATCTCTATGTAGATGAATCTTAGTTCCTAACTATCGCAACATGGCAGATTAATTTGATATTTTATCAGATCGCAGAACACTGGCATGGATTAAGGCCATTGGGCACAATCCTGCATATCAGGATGCATCCGTTTGATACAAGTTTGCCCCCTCTGTTAGCTGTAGCATTTACGTCTTGTTCTCAAATGAATTATGGGAGGATGGTGACGGGCAAGGGGCAAGTGACGGAATGAAGATTGATAATCATTTATGAAACCTGCGACACATTTACCAAAAGTACCTACATTAAGTCACCTCTTAAAACCACAGTTGAGAAGAAGGAAATAGAAAGAAGACGGAAAAGGAGGACAAACGGAAAGAAAATCATAACTGCCGATGTTTATAAGCGATACCTAATTCTAACAAACTAGCGTTTTACGTTAATAAATCCGAGAAAACGTCGAGATCAGCGAGTACAGTTCACTCGGCGGGGGTAGGTCGCCCTGCTGGCTGCTATCATAGGCGAAATGAAGGAGACTGTTTCACCCTTTATTACGTTTAAGCTTATTCATAAGGTGTTTGACCCCAAAAAAGGTGGTTTGAAGTTGGTTGAACATTCTTTTGATTTCCCATGTATGTAATTTGAATTAAAGGGACTATCCCACCTTCTAAAATGTTGTTAAAACCAGTTAAATTGTGCCCGACTTTATAGATTGGATGACCAGGAACACGGTTCTGGCATTTATTTTTCATTAAACATCTTAGGCTTCCCATATTCCAAACACAAACTTTCAAATATGTGACGTCACAGCCCAAAATTACCGCCTTCCCCAGGCCACATTACTGTCATAAAGCTGATTCTTTTTACTCTGTAGGCACCACAACAAAGTTCAGACCAAGTTTTAAGCGATTTTTCAACGAACAAACCCATTTAAATCAGAATGACTAAACGAGGTGACGTCACACTAACGGTCGCTCCATGTTGAAGATAGGGCCTTGTACAAGGCCCATTTTCAAATGAAGGGAACGAATATCTTCACACCAAGAGGCCGCGGGGGTTGCAACCTAGATAGATAGTGGTTTCTGAACCTCGCCGCAAACTTGGCTATCTCAACTCAAACCCCATGTTAAAGGTGGGATAGTCCCTTTAAGTATTTCTTATCGTGGATACATCATATTTCAATCATGATAAGCATGGGAATACCCGCTATATATATCATTGGGCACTCAGGAAAAGGCCAGAGGGAATTTGAAAAGTGGTCACTAGATTCTTTTACTCTCCTTCACTTCATAGATATCAATCGAACTTCATTCAAGCCTAATAACATGATTGAGACTGCACAGTTTACCACCTAATGACTCTTTACACCGTAAATGATGGATCGGAATCCAATGAGCACGGCATCTGTTCAGAGTCGAACCCTCCCACAACATCTCGGAGGCAGCAGCTGGTGTTGTGGTAAGGTCAAAGGAGCAGCATTCCTGTAGTGTGTTCCCCCGGGAGGTCAGGCTCTCCAGGACAGGCGGCTCGGACAAAAGACACCTCAGGACTGGGAGGGACGGGAGGGAGATGGGGACGGAGACGGGAGGGGAGGGGATAGGACGGACGGAGGGGAGGGACAGGAGGTTAACTGTCGTGGAAGGAGCACACTGAAATGATACAGTTGATCGACTCACCCCGGTAAATAGCCCTGGTGTAGATCTGTTGGTACTGCATTCAATCGTGAAAGGAAAAAAATGAGCTAGCGAGCGAGCACACTTGATCGTTTTCGGACTAACACGTGGAGAGAAAATGCACGTTGACATTCGCAGACATGTTGCAAATTTACGCACATTGTAAGAGGTGTTTGAGGCATGTTAATTTATTTACCTCCCGAACAGCCATAAAACGTGGAAGTTCCGTTTTACTACACACTTTTATCTCGCTTGATCAGTGATTACTGATCAGTCGATCAGACTGCTCAGTTGCTGGCTGCTGCTCACTTAGGAAGCGCATTTTACTTTAGCATTAGTAGCATTCACGCTAAATCTAACAAAGAATTAAAGCCCGCCAATCTCACGTAAGTAAAGTAGTCATCCACCCACAACCAAATGACATGCATGCACCATCTAACTAATTAGGTGATAAAATGAACATCTCCCCTCATGACCCCACCCCTCGGCTTACTTTGCAGGCTGGGCGGCAGCGCTCCACCGCCGAAGAACGGATACCCCTGCAGCGCGGGCGGCCACAGGCCTGTGTGCAGGCCCGGGTAGAGGCCAAACGGAGGCCGCTGGCCCACCAGGCCGTTAGGCACCACCAGCGGCGGCGGTTTGGCCGGGCCCGGGCTGAACCGCTGCTGGGCCAGCCGCTCCGACAGCGGACTGGCGCCGGCTGGCGGCCGCTCCCCGTCCCGCCCCGGGTCCGGCTCCGGCTCCGGGTCCGGGTCCTCCTCGCCGCCGGAGACGACGTTCAGGGGTGAGTCGGAGGAGCGCTCGCTCACCGCCACCTCCTCGTCGTCGTCGACTCCGTCGCGGGCGGCGTCGGCCACCGACTCCGCGAGCCGCGGCGCCGCGTCCGGCCGCAGCAGCGCGTCCATGCTGAACGACAGCGGCGGCCGGCCGGCAGAGGCCACGCGCGTAAACGCCGACCCGCCGCCGCTACCGGGGCCGCCGGGGCCGGGCGGCGCGGCCATGGCGCCGCCGGTGGGCAGATCACGGGCCGCCGTCACGGCCGGCCCAGTCACGGAGCGGCCCAGTCACGACTACAGCGATCACGAAGCGACGCGGAGTCACGATGCGGCGGTGGCGGCGGCGGCGCAGCGGGGCGGTCAGACAGCCGGGTGGTCCGGGTGGTGTCCTGAGCAGCGGTCGCTCGGCAGGTCGACTGGCCGGTGGTGGTGACGATCTAAGCTCTGCTCCACGATGTGTGCAGTGTTCGATGCAGGTCAGCTGTCCGCCCGTGCCGGTCCTCGTGGCCAGGTGCCGATCCGATGTACCGTACCGGGACCGGCCGGCCGACACTGGGCCCGGCCGCCGCCGCTGCCGCTGGGGGCGGGGGCCGACGATCCGGGGGCGGAGTCACCGGCCGGCGCCAGCCAATCAGAGCGGCCGGCACAAGCGCTCCGCCGGGCCGACAATGATTGGTGATAGCGATGAGTTTGGATGAGATTTTACACGGCGATCATTGAATTAAGGAGAAAAACTTGAGTAAATACGACATAATGACAGGAAAAACGGGATTGATTGGCGGTGTCGTGTCTGCCGAGGCGATGCGCCCGGTGCAGGGTGAGGAGAACGCACTAGTTTCGAGAAGTGGGGGGGGGGGGGGGGAATGGTAGGGTAAAGGAAGGTTCAAAGGAAGGATTTGAATAAGTAGGTACCATTGAGGGATAAGGAACCCCGTTGAAAAAGTTGGTTGATTGGGGAGAGGGGGGAATTTTTGTCATTTGATTTTTAATGCTAGTGAATGGGGGAACTGCTCACCTACAGGCTACATAATTGCATTAGAGTTTGTCAAAATATATATTTCATGCAAAAATATATACAAAATCGTGATAGCATTCCTCATAAGAAGTCGCAGCTGCAAACGCAAGATTATAATCGCATAAGTTAAGCCTAAGCTACACTAGCATGAATTCCGACGTTTTTTCGGTTTCTGCAGGATTTCGGTTCGCGTCGTCAAGTTCGCCTCATAGCGAATGCATTGCGCAAGCTACACTGCCAGTCTGGCGTCCCGTGGAACGAAAACCCGCAAAAACCGACGAGTCGGAACCGAAAAAAGTTCAGAGCTGTGAACTTTTTCTCGGTTTCTGCGGGATTTCGTTTTAGTGATGAATGATTAGAAGTGATTGTTGCTGATAATACCTATTGTGACGATGGAACAGTTTCAAAAGTAAATGATGAAAATGGTGTAATTCATGATTAAAGAAGACAAGATATGTTTCAAAACTCTTCATTCTACTTCAAATATGATTATACAGAAAATTGTATCTAAGCTGACAAATGATTATGATCGAAAATATATTTTGGTTAGTTGTAAAATCTTTAAAACAATTATTCAATTATAATTTTGTTAAAATACAATAATATTTAACATGAATAATTAATTAATTCGATCACTTATCCATCACTATGCTACAAACAACAGCGTCCACTCGGCGGCCGCCCGGAACGAAAAAACGCAGAAACCGTAAAAACGCGGAAACCGAAATCACGCAGAAACCGAAAAAACGCTGACAGTGTAGCCTGAGCTTTACACGTCAATTACGAACATAGGTGAAAAGACACGTGTTTTGTGCATTTTGGCACCGGTACCTTCAGGTTCAGTCGCGGTACCCATGGTTTTAGGGCTATACGATTACGAAGCGCCCCTTGACTATTTATAGCTTTCAGCATGGGCGCCGCCACCGGGGGGGACGGGGGGGACGCGTCCCCCCCACTCTCAGAATGGAAGGGGGACGTCCCCCCCAAACTCATTACGGAGCGAGCGAAGCGAGCGTAGTCTTTCGGGAAATTTCTGAGTATGAGCGGCCGGCCGGCCGTGGTCACGCTTTTGCGAGACTGTCTCAGGAACCACTTGACTGATTTACATGCAGTAATTTTTGTAGGGTAGCTTCATTCCTTCTAACCATTATTGAACTATTCTCGATGCATGTGGGTGACCCATTATGCACCCGCCACGTGAAAAACGAAGAGGTGTCAGTTTTGTAACCATTGCAACGGTAACATACTGGGCCGATTGTGCTGAAAGTTGGCATGTAGGTAGGTATGGCACCCACCAGGCAATGCATATCCATGACCATGTGCCACAGTTGGGGTGCTGCTGCACGTGCGCACGTGCAGGGGTCGATTCCAGATCTCGAGAACGGCTGAACCGATTGTGCTGAAAGTTGACACATGGTTAGGGACCGGTTATAAGGGTGCCGTGCAAAAGTCATTTGGGACCCATTTTGCACGTGCGCACGTTCAGGGTGCCGCTTACAGATCTCGAGAACGGCTTGGCTGATTGCGCTCAAATTTGGCACATCGTTAGAAACCGGTTAGTAGGGTGCAGTGCACAAGTCAAGTTGGTTGGAGGTACCCCCTCGCAATTTCGTACGTGCAAGGCCCACCCCCTCGCTCGCTCCGTTGGCGCCCCAAAAGGCGTTTTACTGGTTGTTTTCCTACTCGAAATTTGATTAGGCCCTTCGGTCCAATGAGACCATTTCAGAGCCAGAAGGATGAAAGAATTAGTGGGAGAAATTGGTCTGGGCAGCCACCCCAGTGAGCCACTTGGGCTGAACTCGACTTGCGACCAATTGAACAGGCAGCCCAGCCCACTGGCACTCACTGTACCCGGCAACGGACTCTAGCTCCAGTGGAGTCATTCTCGCATGGGATAGAGTTGCCCGTCCAGCCTGGAGCAGGGGATCGCGGCGTGGAGGAGAAGGATTTGACTGTCCTGAGGATGGAAGCGATGGAACGGTGCCGACTCTGAGAGGGTCCAGGAGGTTTAGATACTCAGTATGTGGGATATGGGCCTACATGCATTGGTCTGACCCCTGCCACCTCGGTCAACAAAATCTCCAGCTCTTATCCGACCTGTCATCGCGGAACTGCCGATTTTTGATATCGTGATCAACGTGTGTCGTATAACACGACTGGCCGAAAACGGGCATAATATATTTCGTCTAACCAGCCAAGAGCATGACTTTAAACCAATCCGACCTCGGAGTCAAAATCTGAACAATTTCGAAGACTTCAACTCCGACTCTGGCAAAAACTGTCAACTCCGACTGATTCCGGCTCCGACCCCACAGTTCTGCAGTCACACTACACTAAATTTTCAGCTTCTAAGAAATAAGCTATACCGTTGACAGGACCACAAAACTTTGAGGCGACTTGACTACTTGACTTGGTGACCTGATCTAAGGTTTTCTGGTATCAAGCTTGCTAAGCGGGCTGCAAAATTCGTATTTTAGAGCAGTTTTGCCTGATGTTTTTTGCCAATTTTCGCGGCGCTTCGCGCCGATTCATCCACAAGCCAGACAGACAGATTGTAACTATACAACGCCTCCTCCCCCACGCGGATATGCAATATGCATTACCTATGCAATAGGTATGCATTACCGATCAGATTAGTGGCATACATCAGCAATTATACCCTGATGATGAGGCACTAGAGGCTTTGCCATGTCAAAACTGAATCGGACATCAGATGTGTATATGTATAGGTAGGTACTCTGTGGGAATTCGGTCTACAGCCATTACTTATAGGAAATACTTAAACTACTTCCCTCAAACCAGTTGTTTTGCCACAGGTTTATGAGTGTTTATGCTTAAAATGGCCAGGAAATAACATAATGAATATTTGCAAAATGATTTTTTATTTTTTCATAAGAATCAATTTCCGTCTTTCGTAGAGGCCTTACCTATATTGCAGCGGAAGCTGATTACGCGTTGACCAATCAGATTACGTAGTTCAAACCAGCTGAATGCTGATTGGCTGGCATTTTTCCGTAAGGGAATGGATTTCTCGGTAAGGGAATGACAAAGTGTAATTATGGGAATGACTTCAGTGTTCAAACCTAAAATCGATACCGATATCTTTGGTTAGGGTGATCGTTGAGCCATAAAAGCTCCTGATTTGTTCTCGTCTCAGCTCAGGCTACAAAACTATTACTTCAGTTCAAAACCCAATGTTAAGAGTGGCATATTTGCTTTAAACTTTGAATGCATCGGACCGAAAAAGCCACGGTAAGAATGCCTACTTTTGGGTTTTCAGTCGGTCAGTCCGTCCCCCCCAGTCAAAAATCCGTGGCGGCGCCCCTGGCTTTCAGCATTGCCTGCGATATGCAATGGAAGTGTTGTAGGTAGTAGTTCGCATCGTTCCAAAGTCAGCCACATTACATGGAACTTATACCTGTGCTTTATTCACCGTTCCCCGACTATGGCCTCGTTTCATAAAGCGAGTCCGTAACTTACGCCGGTTTTTGGTCTTGTATTGCAAGTGCATGTGAAGTGATTACGATAGTTTGAATCGTTAAATTTATTTATCTTGCAAGCAAGAACAGAAGGGAGAAGGGGAAATAAATTTATCGCTTCACATGCGCTTGCAATACAAGCCTAAAAACTGGCGTAAGTTACGGACTCGCTTTATGAAACGAGGCCTATGACACAGTGATTTCGTTTCCAAGAAATTATTCCGTTACGGCTAAGTAGGGGAGGAACAGTCAGTGCCAAACAGAATAGCCAGCGTGTGTTCAAATGCTGCGAAATGCCACGATAAGTGGAACATTTTTGATTTAGTGCTTCCTCTATCAAATAACGTTTCCGATTGCTGCCATTGACATTACGCTTATGGTTGGGTACCTGGAAAACGTTACCTTCGAGGTAATTTCAACATTGAATGCTCATCTGAAGTGCAGCTGTGGCAATGCTAAGAGGGCTAAATCGCCCTTGAACAAGGCTATATGATAGATTAATGCCACAAGGCACCGCTTGGCCAAATGCAGCACCGGCTATTGGATCTTAATGCTCCACTTAATGGATATTGTCTGGCCCAGTTTTAATGAGAATGCCGTGCTTCCATTTGAACAATGCCCCTTCAATGAGGTCTAGCACATTAAAGCACAGAACACAGCGGGAAACTTTTCTGGCTCGCTTAGAGGGAATGCGCGACAAGATTGTATTTATAATGCAGTTTCGTAAGGTCTTTGTAATGCTTCCGGTGCTTATTTTCCTTTTAATGTGCATAGCTTACTGCCAGTGTCGTCATCAATAACTGCAGGCATCCATATCACCGCCGAAGAACCGTGAGGTGTGACGTCCCACAATCGTAATTCCGAAATAATTTTGATTTTTGACCATAAGGTGAAAACAGATACATTCCTACTCTTTGAGCGAAACACTGGCGAAAATAGGTAAGCTCGATATATTTTGCCGATTGTGTGTCAGGTAACGTGATTTTAAGCAAATTCATAATCAAGGTGTCTGGTCGATATAAACTTAGTTTAACTATTCCATTT